GTTTTTAAAAGTTAAAAGTTGTGTGTAAAAATACATAGACACACAGGTAGAATATGTATTAACCAAGATCATTTTCTTCAACACTAATAAATGTTTCTTGAGAAGCAAATCAGCGGGAAAAAAATATCTGCATTTCCATAATCATAATAATACTAATTTATTTCCCAAATACTTAAAAAAAACATTTTCAAGCGTTTCATATATATATAGCGCACAAAGTTACATAATTTTTAAAAAACATTTTTTATCTTTTTAGAATGGTTATTACATTAATAAGCTCAGGCTTGATAAATCCAAGAAAACGGCATTTCTTTTTCAATGCTTCCCCCACTTGGTCCTTTCATGCATTGATCAAAGTAACAAAATGTAATTTTGTGTAATTAGTCCCAGTAATTTTTTTCCCTATAAGCCTGAGGACATATGGCTACACGTGGTTCTACACTTTCATAATATATCTGCAGCAATATATAACCATTACAATCCCTAAATTCAATCATAAGGTCATTCCCGGAAGATAAATTCCAGCAATAAAAAATGAAGACGGCTTAGCATGCAACTCTCAAGAGCAAAAACAAACAAACTCAGTGTGTTTTACCCTATACTTTATTTGCGTTTCATGTCAAGGGGTGAAAACTTGCCTACAGTAAGCAACTGAAGGAAATATACACAGCAATTCAATCTACACACTCTGAAGAACCAACTGTACACATTATCTGATCATCATTACATCTTTCCATTAGAGCCATTTAAACGGAGTGTTTTCCCCAGCAACTGTTAAAAATGCAGATTCAAGGCAAAAAAAAGATACAAAAAAACAATAATGACACCGTCTTCAAAACACATGACCTCCTGCAGGAGCTCCTCAATAACAATAATTATCAAATTCAGTGAGGAATTCGATGTTTGAGACGCAAATTTTCAGTTTTCAACAAGTTTTCAATTGAGATGGTAATATTTTAAAGTGCTTTTAAAAGATTAAATTCGGCAAACAAGACAACCGTTAGACAAACGAGCATTAAACAATGAAATACAATAAGAAGCCTGTGGACAAATGTTTACATGTGGTTCTACATGTTTCAGAATATATGTATAGCAATATATATCCATTACAATCCCTAAATTCAACCATAAGGTCATTCCCGGAAGATAAATTCCAGCAATAAAAAATGAAGACGGCTTAGCATGCAACTCTCAAGAGCAAAAACAAACAAACTCAGTGTGTTTTACCCTATACTTTATTTGCGTTTCATGTCAAGGGGTGAAAACTTGCCTACAGTAAGCAACTGAAGGAAATATACACAGCAATTCAATCTACACACTCTGAAGAACCAACTGTACACATTATCTGATCATCATTACATCTTTCCATTAGAGCCATTTAAACGGAGTGTTTTCCCCAGCAACTGTTAAAAATGCAGATTCAAGGCAAAAAAAAGATACAAAAAAACAATAATGACACCGTCTTCAAAACACATGACCTCCTGCAGGAGCTCCTCAATAACAATAATTATCAAATTCAGTGAGGAATTCGATGTTTGAGACGCAAATTTTCAGTTTTCAACAAGTTTTCAATTGAGATGGTAACATTTTAAAGTGCTTTTAAAAGATTAAATTCGGCAAACAAGACAACCGTTAGACAAATGAGCATTAAACAATGAAATAAAATGGGAGGACTGTTGAGTGCGGTTTTCATTTCCTCTCCGTCGCTTTTCTTCAGTACTGCGAAACTTGCACTACACCAGTATATATATATATATATATATATATGAGAGAGAGAGATATTTACAGTACAATTTTTATGTTTTTAAAAGTTAAAAGTTGTGTGTAAAAATACATAGACACACAGGTAGAATATGTATTAACCAAGTACAGTAAGGCGCACAAAGTTACCTAATTTTTAAAAAACATTTTTTATCTTTTTAGAATGGTTATTACATTAATAAGCTCAGGCTTGATAAATCCAAGAAAACGGCATTTCTTTTTCAATGCTTCCCCCACTTGGTCCTTTCATGCATTGATCAAAGTAACAAAATGTAATTTTGTGTAATTAGTCCCAGTAATTTTTTTCCCTATAAGCCTGAGGACATATGGCTACACGTGGTTCTAAACTTTCATAATATATCTGCAGCAATATATAACCATTACAATCCCTAAATTCAACCATAAGGTCATTCCCGGAAGATAAATTCCAGCAATAAAAAATGAAGACGGCTTAGCATGCAACTCTCAAGAGCAAAAACAAACAAACTCAGTGTGTTTTACCCTATACTTTATTTGCGTTTCATGTCAAGGGGTGAAAACTTGCCTACAGTAAGCAACTGAAGGAAATATACACAGCAATTCAATCTACACACTCTGAAGAACCAACTGTACACATTATCTGATCATCATTACATCTTTCCATTAGAGCCATTTAAACGGAGTGTTTTCCCCAGCAACTGTTAAAAATGCAGATTCAAGGCAAAAAAAAGATACAAAAAAACAATAATGACACCGTCTTCAAAACACATGACCTCCTGCAGGAGCTCCTCAATAACAATAATTATCAAATTCAGTGAGGAATTCGATGTTTGAGACGCAAATTTTCAGTTTTCAACAAGTTTTCAATTGAGATGGTAATATTTTAAAGTGCTTTTAAAAGATTAAATTCGGCAAACAAGACAACCGTTAGACAAATGAGCATTAAACAATGAAATAAAATGGGAGGACTGTTGAGTGCGGTTTTCATTTCCTCTCCGTCGCTTTTCTTCAGTACTGCGAAACTTGCACTACACCAGATTCATATTGCACACAAAAGGTCGTAAAACACCATCTTCAATATTCCCCCTGCTACTACAGTACTACAGTCATTTACACAGGACAACTAGTAGGATCTGGATCCAAATACATGGAAAAACAGGACAATGGAAACCAAGTACACTGGAATCTACCTATACTTGTCATCAAGAAAAAACGATATTTGTAGACTTAAAAAAAGATCAACAAAAGAAAATGAACAGCAAAATCCCTAGTCTATAATAAAACAGAAATAAATAAAACAATATTACCTAGTTGCAAGTGCAACAAAATGATTAAATAAACCCCACCCACCGTTAAATAGGCCCCACCCATTAACACGAGTCAATGAAAGGCAGTAACGTTGTGCTGAATGAAAAGCATTGGAACTGTAGAGAGCCAATCAGCAGGTCGATATAAGCAAACGCAAAATCACAAGGCAACCAAAACCACAGCAGACGTTCCACAATCGCGTTTTGGTTGTGTGAGCCAGAACTAAATGATGTGTGGGTTTCCCTGGGTTGTTTGCAATGCTCAAACCACTGAAGATTCAGTCACAAAACTTCAAAATATGGACCCTATAATGAACTAAACTGTACCAAAACGCAAGTAAAATCAAATCAAAAGGTAAAAACTCAGGAGTGTAGGTATAATGTGACTTCAATGGCTGGCTGACCATCGCACAAACCTCACTCCAACAAAACGACAAAATTACACTAAATTAACCATTAAGAGGGTGTCTCTAAAGGGGACAAGGGCGGGATGCGATCATTTCCACAGTCAAGAATCTCTTAACACACCCAAAATGAAACTTTTGCCATCATTTCCTCACTCTCATGCAGTCCCAAACCCTAATAAATTGAGCTTCTCTGTAAAATGAAAACAAGTAGTGAAAAGGAGCTCAAAAATATGACAACCTATGAAAATCTCATTTGCTCATATAATGCATTTGATGTCAATGATGCCAAATGCCATTACAACTCAATCAAATGACAAAGCAAATGAGATTTTAGAGCCACGAAGGGCAATATCTGAAGTGAATAATGACTTAAATTTCCAATTTGACTTCAGAAGACGTGGAATAATATCTCTCGATAGTATTTTATGACATTCTGGAGCTTGAAATTGTCCATGTCTAACCATGTCTGTCCATGTATAAACGTTCTGATATCCTTTCGTGTAGGATGAAAGGAAAGTCTAACAGGTTTGGAACGACATGTGGATGAATAAATAATAATGCAAGTAAAGCTAGGTTCCCTGCCTACTAAAAACAATGTAACCGTAATCCTGCGTGGGAATATTGTAGGTAAAACTAAGAGGAAAAATCCACACACATGATTATTGATGATTTGTAGTGATTGAGCTACGGAGCAGCATCCATACGGCAAACTCTACCTGTTTAAACAGTGAGAACTGAAGTTAAATATTGAAATGAGCACATGACATTAGTATTTTTTTTTTTTTTAACCTAGCTACAACTCGTCTAAGACCTCAGGCTGTGACATACACACAGCTTTATGCTGTAACATCGATTACTCGTTTTGTGTTCGTACAGTGCTTTAAATATACCTGCAGCTCAGGTGCGTCTACATTAAGCAGCCTTTTCGTTCTCATTTCATGGAACTGCATCTCGTTTGTCTACTTTCAGACGACCCTTTCGTCATAATTTAAATCTTTCTTCTGAACATGTCCATCATTACAAAAACTAGTTCAATGGTTCATATATACAGTTCAACTGTAGTGTTTAACTTACGTATTTAGGTGAAATGTTCAATAGAAACTACTCAAAGCAAGAGAGAACAAGCTAACTCTCTAAACAAACCCAAAATGTGAACGTACATAAATAAGGCTAAAATAATGCAGCTAGTAGTTTGTTGTTTTTTTTGTTCCATTTTTCATTCATTTCTGCCTTTTTTCTTTTGTAATTTAGTAATACATTCAACTTGGCACAGTGAGGGACGTGGAGAGCAGGATGTGAGCAGAAACCTACTGTGCAAGAGTGAAGAGATACACGCTAGTTACACACGTGTCCACTGGTGCAAAAGCCTGTCTTTTTTTTTAAGTTTTCTTTATATTTTTAAAGGGAAGATATAAGAGATAAGAATGGAGGAACATCTGTACAGCCCAGACGGGGATAGTATTTCATGTTTCATACACATATATATATACTTATATTCATTTTCATATGTATAGTATTGAACCCTCCCGTGCTGTGGAATGCCTGTTCAGCTTTTTGGGGTGATATCAGCTTCAGCTGGGGCTACTGGGCTTAAATTCAGCATTCGACAGCTGGAAAGAGTGACAAAGAGAGAGACATAGAGGGTGAAAAAGGAGAAAGATACTTTCCCATTTTACTAACCCATTTTACCTGCATAATGTGACAAGTATTTTGCAGCATGTACTCACTTATTTTACTGTTTGACTACGCCTCCACCACGGATGCCCACTGATTGGTTGTTCTGGAAGAGCCCCGCCCCTGAGCGGTTGACATTGGGGTGGGTGGGAGAGGCGACAGGGGGCTGACCGGGTCTGATTGGCTTGGCTGTGATAGGAGGAAATGACTAGTTAGTCAAGCCAGAAAACAACTTTTGATTGTTTACTAAATTGGTCTACTAAATCTATCAATCAAAAATCGCTCCTAAAAGACTGGAATACACTATAAGACTTCTAGTGCACAGATTTTCAGCCTGGACGAATCAATGCTAGTCTGCAAGTTTGGGGCATTCAGAGTTGACAGTTTTTCACCTAGTTTATAATGGGCACCGACTCCAATTTTTTAGCTTTAGATTATGATTCCATTTAGTCAGAGGAAATCAAACAGGTTTAATAATTTGAGCTGATGGAACAACTTGAAAAGTCTGATAGTGTGTGATTATTAGTAGTTTCATTTAAGACGCCCAGTTGTTTAATGCCTAAAAGTTGTTTTAAAAGATGACGACAAACTGAAAAGCTTCAAAACTGGCCATTAATTGTGTTAAATTCAAAGAAATCACGAGATGCACCATGCTTAATCATTTTAATCTACTAACATCCCTAAAAAAGGTGAGAAACACATCTTTGTAGCATTCGACAACTTTTACTGTTCCTCTGTTATAGTATAATCTCTTCAACCCCACCCAAGACAAAATGTCAAAAGACACATGCCTTCCGTAAGCACTTGGCTGAATCTAAAAGCAGCATTTTTTTTTTTGTGTCATCTGAGTCCATCTCTGCGCTCTGAAAAATATGTTAATGCATAATTCAGGCATGTCTGAGAGTGGTCGATAAAGCCATAACTGGAGTTTTATGACGTCTATAAGCTTTGATGGCAGGGACATAAACTAAAGGCTACTAGCCCTAAAGAAAAAAAGAATAAAAAGAAAAGAAAAGATAATCAATAAAAAAAATTAAAAAAAAAAAATTAATAATAGTAAACTAAAATAAACAAATTAATTATTAAAAATAGTAATACAATTCTAATAACAGTAATAAAAATATTGAAATTGAAAATAATAAAGTAAACTAATTCATAAAATCATTTAAGAATTATAATAAATAAATGAATAAATAAATGTAAAATAATACAAATAAATTAAAACTTCAACAGGAACTTAATCAACAGAAAATGTGTTTTAAAAAAGACAGCTATACACAAGAACCTATAAAACCAATAAAACAATCTAATGTTTAGCTTTTAATAGTAACCATAGCTCAGGCTCAGTCATTATAATTTCAAAAAAATATCCACATTGATTCTATTTAAGTATCTGGAGCAATTAAGAGAAGAATGTGTACACAATGGTTGTACCTTCTTCACCCGTGTGGCCAGATCCTGAACAAAGAGTTTCCTCAGGTTATGAAGCGTCTGCAGCTCTTTGGCCTGAGGAGAAGAGAGAAATCAAGAGCGTGCACACATGCAAGAAACATCTCTCATGCACTGAAGAAAATGACCTACCACTGTCTCCTCCAGGCCTTTGAGATCCTGTCTGGCCTGTTCCCTTCTGTCCTGCATCACCCTGTAAACATATTTTAGCATTAGCATACCAGACCACATTTTTGGCGTATGTGTATCTACTCAAACCTCTGCATGTTCATTGCGTGCCGTACGTGAGCTCGTGCAGTTTGCGGCTCTTCTCCTGGTCAGTGGCTTTGAGTTTCTCATGCTCCACCTTCAAGCGCTCTTGCTCCAACATGATCTTCTGGTTCTGACTGCAGCCAGAAAACAAAGAGAGGAAAAATGAGCCCATGTGGCCTTGATTCAGTGCCTGAAGATGTGTATGTTTATGTCTTACTCCTGCAGCTCAGTGATGAGTTTCTCCTTGGTCTCCAGCTCGTCTCTCAGGCTGCTCAGCTGTTTCTGATGAGCTTCTCTGTGGTTCTGAATCTGCTGCTCAACTGCAACCTGTCCAATCACGCATAGAAAGAAACTATGAATTACAAACTCTCTTTTAAAACAAATTTAACATCTCTCAAAAGTCCCCTTTCTGAGTCTTGCGATCTAAATGATTCAACTGCAGAATAGTTTAATTAGCAAGACTAAATATGTCTGGAAAAATCATTGTTATGCAATTAATATGTTGTTATTAAATGCTTACCTTGACTTCATTAGCACTTTGTATCTCATCCTCCTTCTCCATGGCATGAACTTTCTCTGCACAAGGGAAAATAAACTTCATCACAACTTCTTTCACACCCAATGCAGTCTCACCACAAGAGGGCAGTAAAAGTTGGTCTGTCTGGGCCACACAGTTTTTCATATGGGCATTAAAATGCATTTATGAGAGGAAAGAAAAGCATGTTTGTGTATTTGTACCCTGTGCGCTGAGTTTGACCAGTTCCTCATTGAGAGAGTCAACGTTCTCCTCTAGCTGTCTCTTCTTCTGTTCAATGTTTTGCAGATACTCTGTCAGGGACTTGATCTTTGCTTCATACTGTAGACACAGAAATAAATCTCAGGATCTTTTTAAAGCTTCCTGTAAATGCCATGCTAGTGTTGTAATGGAGAGCATGTGGTGTTTCCATTTAGCTACAGTCATACATTAATGATCTAATAAACATAAGACTGGTTTTACTAGGCGAAGAGCTGTGTAAACGCTCTTTTATGTTCAGTAAAAGAAACTACAACAAGTTTGAAATGTTGTAAGACTTTTGGATGAACTACTCTTGCTTTATCTTGTCATTCTTGCATTTACCTGAGAGATACGGAGCTGACAGGCTGCAAGCTCTTTCTCGTTCTCATCCATCTTCTTGTTGCTCTCAGTCTGAGCGCTTTCCAGCTGTTTGCTGCGCTTCACCAGAGTCTTCACCTCCGACTTCATCTTACTGATGTACAGACGAGCCACTGTGAACTCTTCATCAATGAGACCTCCACCCTCATGCTGCTGAGACAAAACGCAGACAGAGAAAGAAAGAGAAATAATTGAGGTTAGAGAGGAGGGTGAACAGTTAAAACAGTGCAAAGGAAGAGGAAAATAAAAAGCAAAGATGAAGAAACAATATTAAAGGGAAAAAAAACAGTTTCATAAGGAAAAAGAAAAAAAACATGCGCGTGTGTGTGTACGTTTACAGTGGTAAGTGTCAAGTGTTAACAAGTTTGTGGTAATTATAAGATGTGATAAAACAAATTTACTCTCACAGCGTAGGATACAACGTCTTCTCAACATGATGTTAACCACACGGAAATGTTACTGTTTGTGGGCGGGCAAGTTGGCGACGTAGTACGTGGGCAGACATTATACAAAAATGTGTTACTTCGTGACGTAGAGCCGTAACAGAATAAGATTTGAATTCCTGACGACTCGTTTAGGCGATTGCGAGCTGACTCTTTTTTTTGTTAGACAATAACTTTATTTATGGTGCACTGTCGGCTTCACAGCTTTGCAGATAGTTTATGTTCACATACAGCTACATGACACACTGCATGAAAGGTAATATTCGAAAAGGCATAATAGGGGCACTTTAACAACATTAGATTTTATGTGTCTTCTAAAGATTTGAATCTAACTTGATGTCTAGACAAAAAGAGAGAAGAAAATGTTCAAGCAAAAGTAAATTACAACTTTTCGGTGAAAGTGAATTAAACAATAGTGAAGAAAATGGTGTTTTTCTCCTCACAGATTTCTGGTTGAGCTCTTCATTTAGGGCTTCAAACTCCTTGGTCTTGTCCTCAACCTCCTGACTCTTCTGATCATAGTTAACTGCAAGCTCCTCCAGGGCCTGCAGCACCTCCTTCACCTCCTCTTTAGACGCCTCGTTCTCCATCTGAAGACGGGTGAGCTCCGCCTGCAGGTTGTCATGGTCCCTTCGCGTTGAGACCAGCAGCTACAACACAAAGATTTTTGTGTTGGATCATCAGTGTCAAATTATTGAGGAGAGAGAAGAGGGGAATGTGATGGGAACTCAACACAACATGTAAGGAGCATGTGCACTAGGCCAGAACGTTATTTATTATTTATAGCTTTTAATGGCAAAGGGCAAACCCCAACTCCTGAGTTTTTAGTCTCCAGATAATTCACAGCCAACTAGGAGACAGGACACTGTTCTTATTTATGGGAAATAACGTAAATCTGATGTGTGGTGCGTGTTTAAGTCTCACCTCTTCCTGATCCAACATCTGCTGCTTGAGTTTCTCAGCCAGCTGAGACTGCTGATTTATCTCATCATCCTAAAAGCAGAGAGCAGAGAGAAACAGAATGATTGTAATGAATGAGTCTTGAAACACATCTTTATTTTACAATGGAACTTATTGTTCTGTTATTACCAATTATGCACTTCAAAAGTTAAAAGTCTGGGGTCAGTATGATTTTTTTTTTTTTAAGTCTCCGATACACACCAAGGCTGAATTTATTTGATTAAAAACTACAGTAATATCAATAGAAAAAATCTAAATACTATTCAAAATATACTATTTACTAGGGGTGCTCCGATCAGGATTTTTGAGGCCGATCACCGATCACAGAAAGCAGTATCTGCCGATACGATCACCGATACCGATCTTTTTAAAGCCTTCTTTTTATCATGTAGAATTATTTATAGTGATGATCCAATCAAGATTTGTAGACATTTATTCAGGGCCTGAATTTTATTTTTGAAAATGAATTCCCCTCTTAGGTGACTCTTCTGAGAGGGGATTTTTTTTATTTGAGGGGTGGAGGGGGGCATTTTTTAGACATTTTTCAAAAATATACGTGGGCAGACATTATACAAAAATGTGTTACTTCGTGACGTAGAGCCGTAACAGAATAAGATTTGAATTCCTGACGACTCGTTTAGGCGATTGCGAGCTGACTCTTTTTTTTGTTAGACAATAACTTTATTTATGGTGCACTGTCGGCTTCACAGCTTTGCAGATAGTTTATGTTCACATACAGCTACATGACACACTGCATGAAAGGTAATATTCGAAAAGGCATAATAGGGGCACTTTAACAACATTAGATTTTATGTGTCTTCTAAAGATTTGAATCTAACTTGATGTCTAGACAAAAAGAGAGAAGAAAATGTTCAAGCAAAAGTAAATTACAACTTTTCGGTGAAAGTGAATTAAACAATAGTGAAGAAAATGGTGTTTTTCTCCTCACAGATTTCTGGTTGAGCTCTTCATTTAGGGCTTCAAACTCCTTGGTCTTGTCCTCAACCTCCTGACTCTTCTGATCATAGTTAACTGCAAGCTCCTCCAGGGCCTGCAGCACCTCCTTCACCTCCTCTTTAGACGCCTCGTTCTCCATCTGAAGACGGGTGAGCTCCGCCTGCAGGTTGTCATGGTCCCTTCGCGTTGAGACCAGCAGCTACAACACAAAGATTTTTGTGTTGGATCATCAGTGTCAAATTATTGAGGAGAGAGAAGAGGGGAATGTGATGGGAACTCAACACAACATGTAAGGAGCATGTGCACTAGGCCAGAACGTTATTTATTATTTATAGCTTTTAATGGCAAAGGGCAAACCCCAACTCCTGAGTTTTTAGTCTCCAGATAATTCACAGCCAACTAGGAGACAGGACACTGTTCTTATTTATGGGAAATAACGTAAATCTGATGTGTGGTGCGTGTTTAAGTCTCACCTCTTCCTGATCCAACATCTGCTGCTTGAGTTTCTCAGCCAGCTGAGACTGCTGATTTATCTCATCATCCTAAAAGCAGAGAGCAGAGAGAAACAGAATGATTGTAATGAATGAGTCTTGAAACACATCTTTATTTTACAATGGAACTTATTGTTCTGTTATTACCAATTATGCAGTTGAAAAGTTAAAAGTCTGGGGTCAGTATGATTTTTTTTTTTTTAAGTCTCCGATACACACCAAGGCTGAATTTATTTGATTAAAAACTACAGTAATATCAATAGAAAAAAATCTAAATACTATTCAAAATATACTATTTACTAGGGGTGCTCCGATCAGGATTTTTGAGGCCGATCACTGATCACAGAAAGCAGTATCTGCCGATACGATCACCGATACTGATCTTTTTAAAGCCTTCTTTTTATCATGTAGAATTATTTATAGTGATGATCCAATCAAGATTTGTAGACATTTATTCAGGGCCTGAATTTTATTTTTGAAAATGAATTCCCCTCTTAGGTGACTCTTCTGAGAGGGGATTTTTTTTATTTGAGGGGTGGAGGGGGGCATTTTTTAGACATTTTTCAAAAATATATATATTTATCTCACCTAAATGTTTGATCATGCACTGTATTTTTGT